CTTCTGTTTTATTTCAACTAACCTTGAGCCGAAGTGTTATAAGGACTGGCTGTCATCAGATATTGTCGATGGCTTTGTTGGAGTTGTTGGATCAATTGATGCTGCTGCGTGGAAAGCTGCTGAAGCTGCGCTTGCAGTTGATGCCTAGTTCCCTTTTCTGAATTGACTTCCATTGGGAGGTTGGTTAGTTGCTGCAGAATTTGATTTTGTTGAAGCATATTCATTTGAATTTGCTCTTGCAGATGGGGTATAAATGCCTCCAGCTGCTTCAACTGCTGTTGATGTTGTTGCTAAAAGAGAAATGAAATTAAGTAAAAAATGTTAAGCAGTTCAATATATTCCTAAATGAAATAATTTTTAGATATAATGATATTGTAAAGATACCATTATATTATTCGTGCTGATATCATAAAAACTTCTTTTCATGATTTATGCTATGACAGAATCATGGTGGTTTATTTTCAAATAAAATATTATTAATTCGGTTAGCATTATTTATATATTAAAAGACGCATTTCAACTCAGTCATGTAATGTGTTTTTCAAACTTATTTCACTTTAATTTTTTTGGAGTTAATAACGAAAGTGTTTCTTGCTGTGACGACTAACAAGAAAAAAATTATTTCTTTAAATATTCGTACAAATTTTGGAAGGCATAGTACTTTATTCCCCCCCCCTTTCCCTCACTCAATTTCATGAGCATGCATATATATTGAATTTCGAAATGATACGGAATTTATTCCCACTAAAAAAACCAGGAATAAAAATATTTGTATTTTAAAAAAAGAAAATTTTTTGTTTAAAATTGACTTTTAAGTATAAATTAATGTGTGAATTTAAGGTCGACCGCGCTGAACTACAATTTTAATTGAAAATTCTTACTTGTTGCCGTTGATAATACAGCGCTTGTTGTTGCAGGAACTGTTGTATTTGGGCTGGTGAGAGAAACTGTTGCATTTGGTTCTGATGAGGAACCATTAGGAGTTGTGCAGCACTCATCGGTGAATTGTCAGTTACCACATCACACCCTTTACCGATGGTCTTGTTCTGCAAGAAGAAACATTCATTTGAAGGGAGCTCAATCCGGTTCAATTAATTTGAATTACAAGAATAGCATAGCTGTCACTGAAATTTTATGTTATATCATTTAGAAGAAAGTAAATTAATATTTTTTCAGTGCGTGAAAATATATAATACAAATATTCAAAACTATCATTTATCAGCAACAATTATCAAATTTGTTATTAATTTGCAACTATTGAAACATAAAAATTGAATTGAAATTTGAAGAAACTCACCGAGAGAGAGAGACATTGAATAATTAGTCTTAAGGGGAAAAAAGTAATGGTTTAAATATATAAATTTTGTATCAAAATGTGTTATAAATATAAGAAATGTATCTTTCACATATTTTCATAACGATAGTTATAATTGCCCTCAAACTAAGATTGAAAAGTTTCGCAAATAAAAACAAGAATGAAACATTACGTACTTTAAAATAAATCTTGAATAGTTTTGGTTATGAAATCCACACAAATCAAGGTAACATATTTTTTATTCAAAATCCTAAAAATATTTTTAATTCTTTCAAAAATAAATTTTTCCTTTATCCCTTGAATATCATAACATGTATTACATTAAAATTTTTCCAAGCAAACTAACCAACGCAATAAACTTATACATAACGTCTTTAATTTACAAAAAAATTCAAAAACAATATAATTTTCCATTTTTTGATTATTTTTCAATAGTTTGGGTTTCGTTTGAGAACTTCATCGCTAATTTTTTTTTTACTTTACCCAAAAATATATAAGAAATTATACGCTATTGTTTTTCCAAAAATTGAACCACGGTAAAGAAAATACATTTATTCTAGTGCTTCATTGTAGTGTGTAATTGATTTTGCCAGAGTTGAATGTACCTTTGTAATGAAAGAAAATTTCAGTCACTGTTTCACATAACATTGAAAATATAAACAGGGATCTTGTTGAAGTATTCATATGCGCAAGTATAACACAGAAGAGGTAAAAAAGTTCATTCAATGTTGAGAAATTTGCATAAAACGTATACAAATAATCTCTAAATATTAATAAAAATATTATAAATCTAAGTATACGTTTTGGAATGAGCAAATGTTTGTTATCTTTGGTAAAATTAATAAAGTTTAGAATTTATGAGTTTCTAACACTGAGTTTCATAACATTTTGAGAACATGATATCTCAAATTATGTTAAAGACGCTAACACGAAAATTTAACATTTTCTAAACAAAAAAGCTTTTGAGATATTGTTTAAGAGAAACATTTGTACATTTGAAGCGCTCATTACTGTAAAATTTTTTTTAAATCCATCAAGTATTGTTTATAAAACAATTAAATGAATCTTTTAATAGGAAATGATCACATATTTCATCCACAGAAAACATTCAAAATATGAAGTTTTAGTCTTATCTGACTTTTGACAAGTACAATAAATACTTAAAACTCACGAAGAATAGTAGTATGTATGCAAAATAATTTTTGAAAAATATTCTGCATACATACTCACAAAAATAGTTCCAACTTCTGCATTTTAATAAAGCACTCTGCAGTAATGTTCTCGAGTAACAATAAAAACAAAGTACTTTAGTCTTGTTTTGTAAATGGGAAAAATCATCAGAAGCGTAGAAAAATAGTTTGCATACATACTCACAAAAATAGTTCCGACTTCAGCATTTTAATAAAGAACTCTGCAGTAAAGTTCTCGAGTAACAATAAGCTCAAAGTACTTTAGTCTTGTTTTGTAAATAGGAAAAATCATCAGTAACGTTTCATAATACGATACTGATGTCACAATTAAGACCCAGAAAGAAAATTTATCGACGAAAAAAATCGAAAACCACTCTAAAATATAAATTACACTACATAGCATGCATTGCATAGAATTTTTCCATTTACTGTTCAACGTTCTGCTTTGTAAACAATATTTTACTTTGTGGCTCTTTTAGAAATGTTTATAGTCATTTAGTATCAAAATTTATGATGAAAAATCCTCAAAAAAGAATCAAAACTAGTTAATTGGACAGGTGGATTCCAAGTATTTGATATATGGTTAACCAGGTGCTTTCTTAAAAACACTACATCGTTCTCGGGCATGGAAATATATGTACCTATATTTACTATTTTATAAAATAATAAAAAGCTTTTCTTTCCCTAAGATAAATTTGGTGAAAAATATAGATTGATAAGCAAGTATAAAATTGTTTTGTAACAAATTGATATATCACCATAATATATTTAAACTACACAAAAACTAAGCTGTACATCATTGTTGTTTAACGTTGTGTTGACTTCAGTTGTCTTAAATAAAAATTTAGAACAGAAAAATGGCAAAGCGGATTAATAAGACAAATGAATGCCCTACAGAGATTGATAAAGAAATAAAGTATCAAAAATATTTCCATCAGTCTTATTAAAAAAGAAATCAAGTAACAGAGTAACATTAATTTAAAAGTTTACTATACACAGCAAGATTAAAAGTAACGGAATTCTCTCTCAATTGTGTAAATATTTTTTATACTTTCTATGTATTGCTATAAATTAAAAAATGATATAATTAATCTTTTTTATTGAGTTTTTTGTAACTTAATTTTTCTCCTAGTAATAAATAAATTAATAATTTTTGACAAAAACATGTTTTTTTTTTTCTTTTTCAAAAAATATAATTAAGACAATATTTGCAAATTAAAATATATTATTTTGATTTTTTCTTATAATTTTGATCCGATATTTTAATAGTAAGCTCTAAACAAACATTTAAATAAAAGACTAAAATTCCCGAGAAAAAGCTTTCATAACGTTCTTAATTTTTTTCCCTGAGTTTACTTAAATTTAAGTAACTTCAATAATTTATTTACAACCTAAGTCTCCGAATTTTCAAAGATCTAGTTTAGACATTAGTTGGAAAAAATATATCTAAATTTTCAATTTTAATCCTTAACATTAAAAAAAAAAAAAAAAAAAACACCACCGCTCTTTAGTTTACCATAATATTTCTAAGCAATATATTTAGTTTTTTTCAGCTATTATACGAACTATTTCCAACTCTTCATTAGAGCGTTAATTAAAAGAATTCGGAAAATGAAAAAATAATGATAGAACCCATGTTCTCACTAAGCCAGTGATTCTCAGTGGGGCGCTGCCCCCTTAGGGTGGCGTGATAACCCTAAGTGGGGACACGAGCATTTCAAAAAGATTATTAAAAAAAATTGTTAATTTACTGAAAGGAAGTACCAAATAATATATATATATATATATATATATATTCAGACATAATAAAAAAAATAAAATACAATTTACACTGATATAACACACCTAAAAATGTAGGAAGGAAAAGTAACATAATACCTATCCTATTACTTAAAATTATATATATATATATATCACTTATACTTAAGATGTCTATTTTACTTAAAAGTAACACGTATAAAATATAATTCTTTTTTGGATAATTTATACGGTTCATAATTAAGGTCGTATTATAGCTTTAGCGTCAGAGTACATTATTATTACATTCAATACATTGTTATTGTAATGGGGGGGCGATGAAAATTATGATTGAAAATTGGGGTGCAAGTATTGAAAGTTTGACAACCACTGCACTAAGTCCTTACGCTTCAGCCCATTTAATTTTAAAAAATTCCTTGAGTATGCATAATATAAACAAATAATATAAAAAAAATTAAGTCAATTTCTACTTAGGTCAACAAAGAAAAATTTTATTTTAGTTACTTTTTTGTTAAATAGTTAGAATTAATTTAAATATGTATATACGTATTATAGAATCACACAATATTAAGTGACAAAATAGAAGGCGAATTTCCTTGCAATTTTCCATTTTCCTTTCTATGTATGGTGTTGGACTATTTTTTGTTTGTTTGTTACTATTTTTATTCCCTAATTAAATTGAATTATTCTAATTAAATAATATAGTAAAAAAGAAAACACATTCTCAGAAATTAGGCCACCCCAGGTGAGGCTCGAACCCACGTCCTTTGTATTAGAAGTCCAACGCGCTATCCATTGCGCTACAGGGACACAACGAACAGTTTACCTTTCTATATATACTGTTGGACTATTATTTTTGTTTGTTACTATTTATTCCTTTTTTAATTTAATTAATGAATTAATACTTGAAAAAATTGTATTAACATCAAGTTTCATCCACTACAAGTTTTAAAAAATGTATTTTAACTTGAATGGATGGATAGAAAGTATTTTATTAACGACTGAAAATTTGAACAAGTTATATATATATATATATATGTGTGTATGTGTGCGTATAGGGGGAGAGTGAACTAATAGTAGGAATTGAAAAAAGGAGTCAAATTAAGTAGTGCAAATACAGAATAGAATAGGATCATAAACGAGTAATCAATAACATCCAAAAGAATTTTTAAAAAAAAAACAGAAACCAGAATAAGAACCAAAAGACATATGGAAAAAAAATAAATATCTTATGCGTGTTAAAAAAGTCTTATTCTAAATTATCGAAATAAGTTATATATCATTAGTTCTTACATTTAGAGTTGTTTCGTTTCTTGTTACGGTATCTTAAGACCAAAAAATTATATCATCAAAAGCATATCTCTGCTTTGCACTTTCTCCAGTTTTCTGCGGAGAAACAGCTACTCGTCTTACCGTTCAAAGCGTAAGCATTCCGGGGTACAAATTTCTGAGTGGAAGCGCAAATGTTTCTTTTGAATTCTAAGTAAAAATAGATCGTAAGAAATAAATAGGTGCACACTTTGTAACCAACATAGTAACTCTAATATGTTAAATCTTTAATCTACACTTTTAATTTGGTTCCAGAATGCACTTGAACCCTATCAACGCACGATAATTCACGAATTAAATCTTTCTTTAAAATTTATATTTTTTAGACACCTCTTTATATTTCTTCTCTATCTCATCAGTAAAAACACGCTCGCATGTATGCTACATGATAAAATTTCGTGAAGCTCATAAAAAATTAAAAGCAAATACTTTCTATAAAGCAATACAAATCTAAAAAATGCTTTGATTTTAAAACATTTTTCTAACAAAGGTTAACAAAGGATTTCGAAATTGTGTGCTAAAAAATTCTACACAACTTTTAATTTTAATATCTCAACAAACAGTAAAAGGAATGTTCAGTATCACATTATTTTTCTGATAAATCAGCTTTTTGTTCGGGTGAACTTCGGCAAGCTTAAAAAATTAGAAAATTAGGTTTGGCCTTATAATGGCATTGTTTTCATCTCTCTCTCATCTATATTATTTACGTTAAGTTAGTTCATTAAAGCTGTTAATAGGTGTTAATTTTTTGCTATTAATGCCTAATTGTTTTTTATTTTTAAGAGGTGCAAAATCTTTAATACATACATATATGTGTGTTTTATAAGATTACACTCATTACATTACTATACATTTATTTATACGTTTTTGAAATCACTTCTGACAAAATCGAAACAAAAAATTATTTCTGGAAAAATTACAACTAATTGTGAAGTACATAATGTTTAGTGTGAAACACATTTTGAAAATAAGAAAAGTAAAATAAATTTAAACTTCTGTGGCATTTTAAGTTGTCTTCTTAAAGGAATGTCTGTGATAATGCATAAAAAGCTGAAGCCTTTTACGCATTATATATAGATAAAAAAAAATCAAAACTTAGTTTTCTCTCTCAAAATATGATCTAAGAATTACTACTTAAATGAAAAAAATGACCTATTGAACAGTTCATTCATACAATTTATATCGATATTTAAGACGAAGAAATGTTTTTATAAGAAAATTCGATGAAACTTTTCTAATGAGAAAAAAAACTAGCTGAAGGTATTTAGATGTATAAAATATTGAAAAGTATATTTAGAAATTTAATATACAAAAAGGGCCTTGTAAATAATTACTTCAGTCATTTGTGGTGTTTAAAACTGCAAAGTAAAATTTTAGTTCATAGCACAATATGTAATAATGATATATATGTAGAAATACACATATAGCTTTCGATATAGATATCTGAGATAAAAAGCTTTCGAAATTTGTCCTGATGATATAAGAACTTTAGGATCCATTTGCTTGTCAAAACACAAAATATCTGAACTCTAACATATTTAATTTCAAAGCATAATATTAAGATTCTTACGCCAGAAATAATATTAAAAAGATGATTAAATATCAATGAATGAATATGAAAAATTTTTAGGATTATTTTGTGATTAGGCCTATATTAACATAAGAATAGATTTTATGAAGAAAAGTTCATATTATGACGATTTAGATTTAATTTTCAGAATTAACAAAAAAGTTTGTAATTTTCAGCTTATTAACAAATTCTCAAGACCGAATATACACAATGATAGTAAATATTGTGTATTTTCCATATCATCTAACAAACAAGCAAATCGCAAAGACAACAACATTATTTACTTAAAAATATCTTTATGTTGCACAAAGGAGGAAAATAAGTATAAATTTTCCTAAACACGTGCTATTGTGTACACAAAAAGACAAATAAATTATTAAAAAAAAAATATCAACTGAAAAATATTTCTTACCCAATATATCATTTTTGGTACTTAGGAAGAATACTCAACAATTGAGGATGAAATAATGAGGTAAGAAATCATGGACTAATGCATGCATTTTGAGAGAACAGGTGACAACGCATCCTAAAAGATAAGCTGCCTATAATTTCTTTTTGCTAGAGCGATTAAAAGAGATTAATCCGCCTTTCTTACGCATCGTTCTCTCGCAATATCAGCTCGTAAATCTCTTTTCTATCTGTTTTAACACACGACACCAATCGTAAGGAAAACAAAACTGCACGATAGTAAATGGACAGCGTCCGATAGAACAGTATTTGTAAATCTAGATAAAGCGCTTTACTGATCACATAATTTCCCCTTTTCTTGCTTTTTAAATTCACTTTTCGAAGCAAATGTGTTCTTAAACACATTTATTTCCAAGGTTTATGCTCATCGGCGTGTCCAAGGGATGCCTTTCGTGTTGAAACACTGGGGAAATTATGCATTTACCACTGTTTTCATAACAGGATCTTAAGATCAGGAATGCGCCAGAGCCTTGCTTGTGTGGAATTAAAAGATAAAAACAGAAAGTCATGTGATGATGTCTGAATGAAATAGACATGAAAAAAAAATGAAGCAGTTTGATTTAAGTTGGAGATTTTGAATTGTTTTTTTATGCGTAGTAATCTGACTTGCCGTAAAGTCCGGCGTATAAAACACACTTTTAACACAAAAAATAAGATCAAAATTTAAGGGCGCGCGTTATACGCCGTGTATAAAAATGAAAGCTTTAAAAATTAAAGACATGGCAATAAAAGAAAAATTATTTTTCTCTATGTATCGAAATACTGTTTATTAAAAAGAAGACATTCCTTAAGAACTTAGAGGGTTGTTGTTCTAGCAATATGCTATTTTTTTCTAAAGCTTGGGATGATACCTCGAATAAATGACTTCAAAACAAAAATATTGCGAATGTACATATCAGGTTTCTTCGTAAAAAAGGGGGCGCGCGTTATGCGGCGAATGTACCTAAAAATTAAAAAAAAATACAGCTAAAAAGTATGGGTGCACGTTATACGCCGGATTTTACAGTATATTTTCAAAAAACTGTAAAAAAAAGTACTGTAGTAGGATTAAGAGTTGCCCCCAAAGGACCATAAAAAAGGATAAAAATCGGTTAGTATTATTAAAAATATAAAACGAAAATCATTGAAAAAAATAATATATTATTTATAACAATTTATTACAGTGTTTCTTAAATAACATAGTGCAGTGTTTCTTAAATTAGGGGTCGCGTGACTTGCAACTGGGGATGCCAAAGATTTTAAGATATTTGATATATTTTTTACATAAAATAATTTGCCATTAATAATAATGATAGTTTAATTGTTTACATAGATTTTTATTGCTAAAGCTAATAGATAATTTAATTGTTTATTCAGATTCGAGAGTATCGATCGAATCTAAAGAATATTGAGGAAGTATTTTGTCCGGCGGTATTCCAAGACTAAATAGCATTATTAAAAATAATCAAGCACTGAACTGAATACTGAACTTGATACTGAAATCTTGCATATACCGTTGTTGATAAAAGGTGATGATGTCAGAAGCACTCGAAATGACTACGCTTAGTAAACAGATTATAGTTTATGTATAATTTACTGTGTAATTACATTTTACAATGTTTTTTTTTTCATTAAAATTTCTACTTTGTTATATTTAAAGTAAAAACTTATTGCAGATGTTTATTACTGCAAAATAATAATATACTACAAATAAAACACATATAGAAGTATCCAAGCGTGTGTACACCTAATGCAATGCTTATAAAGGCACTCAAAATTTTTGTAAAAAAATGGGGTAGCCACCCCTAAAAGGTTAAAAACCCCTGCTTAAGAGAAAACTTATTGAAACGACATACTGTAAAAATTAAATATTTTTTTAGATATTTTTTTTAAAGACAATTATGGGATTTCCTTTACTTTAATCTCTCTCTCTCTCTCTCAATAAAATTTTATCTTACCAAAATCGAATAATATTCTATACAAACAAAATTTTCACTTCCATTGTAGTTTTTAAATAATTAGTATTTTGTTTAAAGATTATCTGTAATGCATGATTGAGTAAAACGCCATTAATGCACGATCTTCGAAAAGCGTAAATTTATAAGTGGCACAGGAAAAAGGCGCTATAGGAAGTTTTATTTTTCATCAAAATCGAATAATATTCTATACACACAAAATTTTCATTTCGACTGTAATTTTTAAATAATTAGTATTTTATTTAAAGCTTATCTGTAATACACGGTAGAATAAAACGCCATTAATACACAATCTTCTTAAGGCGTAAATAGTCTTTATGAATGCTTAAACGCATTAAATACTTTTACATTAAAAACTCTGCTTTTCAAATACCATTCCAATAACAATAAGAAAGCTCGCATGGGCATGAAAAATGCTTAAGAACAAATACAAATGGCACTTTTAAAATAATCTAAGAAAGAAACATAAATATTTTTATAATAGCAAT